ATATATATATATATATATATATATATATATATATATATATATTTTTTTTTTAACATTATATATTGATAAAAATAACAGATTTCTTCTGCAGAGTGTTCATTTCATTTTTTTCTGATGGCTTATTATAAAATAATAACTACTTGTTTTTAGCAACTTTCCTGTCACCCTGTATACTTCCGAATCTACGGGTTTCTCTTATTATGATTAAGTTCACTTTCCCTGACCGGTCATATTACCACCTCTGACATTTATAGCTGAATCCTTCATCCCGGCAGAGAGAAAGAATATTCATGTACACGGGACATATATTCCGATAAAATTTATGAAATTTACATGCGGAATCGTGAAAAATTTTACTTTAATCGATAACTTAAACCGATAGCGTTATCGAGTGTTAATATGATCTCAATGTTACATAAATTATAGGGTTCAGATTTACCGTATCTCCATTTTGTATATTTTTTGAAATTATTTTTCTTGTGCTTTTTTTTCTCCAAATAGCTTTTATTCAAAATATCATCGTCACTAATATCAAATATCTCTTATGTCATTATATCATCAATATTGTAATCGAATTTTTTGTATATATTTAAAACTAAAGAACTGATACCTGCATATCATTAATTATAATTACAAAAAATTTATTTTCGTAAGCGAATTGTTATATTTAATGAAATATTGAAAATATTAAAAGACAACATGTACACTTTATATACCACCTTTATATTAACCACCTTACTTTTTTTAAATTTTTAAATTTTCTGTTTGTATGCATGTGTTTCTTGTATAAGTAATATAACTCTTTTGTTAAATATTTTTCATGTTTTTACATTATTTTGTCGGTTGTCTTGTTCCATGCTATTATAACGTCGTCCTCCATTATGAATGGAATTTTTAACAAACACTTTGCATATCTGTACGGAAACTATGCATAATTTACCGCGATATGTATAGTTGTGTTCAACCATAATCTTTGCAATTCCGAACTAAAAAAATCTGTTTATTTATCTGTATTATTTATTTCATGTGACAATTCTTTCATGTGAAAGGAAAGATGGAAGGTTAAAAAAAATCAATAAAATTAAAGAATAGTTTGTTTTATTTCTTAGGTTCAGGTAATGCGCATAAATATAAACATAACTATATGAACACATGAAAACTACCTACCTAACAAAATGTTGCGTTCAACACAACATCGCAAGATTACGAAAAGTTACGAAAATGATTCTTAAAAGATCAATATTATTAAGGGGGGGGGGGGGAACAAAAAAAAACAAATTACGAAAAATTGACCTTGTCACGACTCATCATATAAAAAAATAAATATACAAGCTTTTATAGAAATAGTTAGACTCTTTGCAAACAAAATTTTACGAACAATCAAATTTAACAGTAGTTTTCATGCTTTACAATCAACTTTTGTATGCGCAAATGTATATCTAAAAAAAAAATCATATGTAAAACAATTTCTGTGTAAAATTTTCGCCGCATTTTAATGCGGAAAATTGATGTGCGTGGACGTTAACAGTTAAGACAACGACACGATTTTTGATTAATTTTTTTCACGATTTTACGATATTATGGCACTAATCGAGACTCAAGTGTGTGCGACGCTCGATAAAAGAAAAATAATAATAAGCGCGCTTGCACCCGAATGAGCCACCTGTTTCCTGTTATATTTTTACCTACCGAATTTCTCAATATTGATTCGAATGCATTATTATTATACTAGAACTGTGCGAAATAGTACTTAATTCCGAAATCGATACGTGAAGTCGATCCACATACATAGTCGTTACATTGAAACAATTCATTTCAAAATTGGGTTCTACCGTTGCGAATCAAGATTTCGAACGTAAAGTCGGATTGAACGATATTGTGCGCCGAATATACATGCGCTTGAATATACAATTCTCCTCGACTTCGATATTGAATTCCCGACATTATGAGCCGAATAATAACACCGATCTTGAAGTTACGATTGAACTCGAACCGATTTCACGTCTCGTCGTCGAGGCGAATACTGTCTCGCGTAGCCTTATTATCTACCACGATCGACATATTCAATGTTACATTACATTGGTGACGTGTGTTTCTTTCTCTTTACATTACGGGGAATATCATGACCTTCGTACACGCTACTATTTACAAATCATCGTGCTATCTAGAGACTGACAACGGGCAATCGTCGAGAGAATAAATAATAACGTCTCATATCCATCGTTGAATTTGGGGCAGGCAAAATTATCGATCGAGTCCGTAGTTTAGAAACAGTTGAGTATAAAGTAACAATCAAGCTCAAGCTACACAGCTGTTATTTTTGTAATGAATAAACTGAAACTGGACTGGATTAAATAATTAAATAAATAGAAAATTATTTTTTATTGGTTAATTGGTTATTTTACTTTTATTTTTAACTCGTTTTTTTTACCCATTTTCCTTTTTATTTTTATAAATTAAATACTGAAAAAAAATTCATTATTTTTATTAACATATAAAAAAAACTTGTACTTAAAAATGAATATCATGATAAAATCAACAATTCGACTTGTTGCACAGTTTAATGATGTATGTTTTCGAAATAATAATCACCTAATCATCTAAAATTGTACAATAATTGCAAGTAATTATGTATAAAAATTCCAACTCCAATTTCCGTCATGTAAATGGTCGCCTATACAGCTCTTTGAATCATACGTCCAGCCAAATTTTTAATTTTTTTTTTTTCATAATGTTGATTTTTAAGTATTCTCTCTCATAAGTATATGTCCTTTTTCACTGTACGTTAATAAAAATAATAGATTTTTTTTCTATGGAATAATATTTAATTCATTTCATTTTCTACTTTCTACAAAATAATAGCTACTTAATTTCTGCAACTTGCTGATTGTCACTCTGTACTTAATCCGTGCACATCGAGGAAATCTAACATCGGTATGCTTGAGAAACACTTAATTATCACATATCTCGCCACGAATATATCTCAATATCGATCGCGTATTATTCTCTCGCGCCCTTTCGCTACCCACGTAAATCTAATGTTTGGTACTTATATTCGGGTCTATACTGGCCGCTTGAATCAAGAATTCGTCGTCGACGTATACACATCTTACATACGTCACACAGCAGCACCAATCGTTACAAGCAGCACCAATTATTAATAAATCTAATAACGCAATGAAAAACTTCCTTGTTACAGCCAGGTTTCGCTGTTCTGATTGATGTAAAAAATTGATATAAAAAACGCATATAAATTAATACAAATATGTATCAAGATGCTTATTTATGGGGGGGAAAAAAAAAAAAACCCTAATTGGATTTATGTAACATAAATAACAAAGTGCCAATTTAAAATTATAATATTAAATATAAATAGTTTTGTAAGCATATAACTGATTTAAATCGATGATTCAACCGATTTAAGTAACTTTCGCTAAAACACATCAATCGATATAAAAATTAATAATTAATAAAATATCTCTATCTATAAATAGAAAACATAAACAACTTGGACAAAAACGAAATTTAACCCAAGATGTTCGAGATATGCGTGTCTTCTCGGTGTCAATTGTAATTTGTATAGTCGACTTTGACTAATTATTTAATTAGTTATTTATTAACTAGATATCTAGTTACTGCTTGTGCGCACTGTGAATAATTTATAATGTAGGAACCATTCGATGGTTAAACTTGCCTCGAGGTGACTAAATTGTGATTTTATATGTTAATACTTCGTGCGTTTCAAATATATATATTTTGCATTCTATTTTTGTTTTTCTGATACTTCCGTCTTTTCTCTGGACGAAATTCGTCCAAGTTTGAGTTACATTTGAGCTAGACTAGTGTTCAAACCGGACGTCGTTGTTTTACGAATTGACACTAGCCATATGAAACATGAACATGATTACAGTGCAACGATACATGTTGTGTTTCGCACAAACAATTGATTTAATGCAAAATTAATTCAATTAAAAAGACAAAATATATGATAGGAATTATTTGAAACAGGTACTCGCTGTATATAATACTATTATCATAAATTATATTCGAAAATATTTCACTGAGCGTCTTCTTGACTAGATTCTGCGGACTTTCGACGGCTTATTAAGTAACAAAATTCGTGTGCATTCGAAAATTCATGAGAGAGATATTTCATAAACTCACGCTTATTACGAGCAACTTTATTATTTGTATACTCGACAAACCACGTAACTGTGAAATAAATACGCTTTGTTTCACAAAGTATACAAATATATGTATGTTCTTTTAACAAAAATATAAATGCAAGTTATTAAATGCAATAATTCACATACCCATTAACATTCTAGTTACACTCAAGAACATCAATTATTTACAAATCCTTTCTTCTCTGTTAAATTTCAATTCAATTTCATACACAAATGTGTGTACATTTCCTGTAAATTATTAACGTGTAATTATTGTCAAAAAAGTAAAATTCACCTATACTTTTACACGTGATGTTAATGTGAATGCACATGAATTTTTTTTTTTTTTCCTACAACATACAACGCTTAGATCCTCTCACAGAATTTGCAAGAAGGAACAATAATATTAAATACTGAATAGTAATTCTCGCTTCTCTACAAAAAGCAGCGACTATGAATTTGTTTTCTCTCTTCAATAGAAGCTCATAAATTATTTTACAAAACAATATATGGTTTACACTCGAATATAGACGCATCTCTTTAAATTACACGCAAATCTCGTGGCTGCTCATTTTTTTCTTATCAGATTGCAATTATTTATCTAGCACGTTATAGATTTAGATCTCCCACCGATTGTCTTTCCAGCTACAACTTTCGTGATAAATTTGCAAGCAACTCCCGTTTTAATGAAAATTTTGAAAAATCACACAAGTTTTCACTTATCAATATTAACTGACATAAATTTGTAACAAATTTTAAATTTGTAACAAATAAAATCTAATTAATATCAATTGAGAACTACATTTTTATTATTTATATAATCAAAATCCAATTTCAAAACATAAAACATATTCAATGTTCAATACTGATTGATTCAATATTGATATCGCAATTTTAAATGTTGATTAATGTGTTTTTAAATCATTATCTTTCTTGATTGGTCCTCTATTGCAGAGATATATTATTAATACCATTCTTTTTGAGTGTAAAAACATGTAGATGTACAGGCTATCTCTAAGTTTCCGACACATATTTCTTCGCCAGAGCATAAGGGATACTACTTTTTACATTCAAGAAGATGTCATCGAAATATCTTACGGAATGTAAAGAAATCCCAGTAAATAATCTGTTTTCAATATACCAGCATATATTAATAATAGATTTGTTCAAAATCTTGCAACAGATTCAATATCATTTGCATCTGCATCTGCATTGAGTCCGTGTTTTACCGACAGAACCTGCTGTCAGATAGTAAATTGTCAGCATAAATCGAACAAAATTTATCATAAATATTTCATAAATATTTAAAGGAAATACATTATTTAAATAATTAGAAAATAGCAAATTCTGTTCCATTTCTGTCATCAATTTGGCATCATATACAAATTGCAGATTCTATTATCGTTCTGCTGATAACAAGTAAATTATAAAATCTATTCTGGTAGATTTAACCCAGTAAACGAAAATGAATAAAAATAGATTAAAATTTTTAGAAGAACGCATTCGCGAACGTTGAAATAAATCCATATCAATGCCCATTACTTTTGTATTCATTTATAGGAATTGAATGAAACACATTTTTATGCCTTTCAATCCAGAAATAAGTTTAGTTTTAAAAAGTGGATCGTGAATACTGCTCAATTCAAAATTCTGGATAAGAAATGTAATTTTTCAATCCAATGTAATCCAATTGAATACAAAAAAAATTTTCCATTTGTATGTGTGAAATTATTATTATACGTATAAACAGATACAAAGGCACTGGGCATTGAAATGGAATTCATTTCAACGTTGACGAATGTGTACTTCTGAAAATTTCAATCCATTTTAATCTGTTTTCGTGTACTGGATATTTGGACATCATATTTTTATCTTCTTCTCTCTCCTTTTAGAGAAATATGTATCAAAAATCTAGATAACATGCATATCTACATCTTTGTACATTAAAAAAAGACAGTATTAATGCACATCTGTGTATATGAAGTTGAAAGGTCATCCGGTGATAGATCGTTCCGTACACATGTACTAATCCATATGTCCTTATAGCACATTTAACAGCAAACGTGATCCTAATTCTCATCTCAATTGTTTCTTGTATTTACTTCTTTTTTAAATTGAAGATAAAATTTAGAATCATAGGCAATCCAAATGTGCAATGAAGATTGAGTCTCCTATAATATATCACACTTCATTTTCGTAATAAATATTGTATTATTTTACGATGCCCCCTCCCCCTCCCCCGTATCTGCATTTGAATTTTTCTTTTTTCAAATTTTTTATGACCATTATAAAATTTTGTTTTCCCCGAATGAATTCCGCCATGATATACACGAAGTGATTTCTTAAGGGCTTGTCATGATTACCCTTGCAAAATTATCTGTCGCTTCAATTCTTAGTTTTGTCATCCGAAAAAGTATGTGTATAGAAATATTATTTTGGAAGATTCGACAATTAGGCACACAGATTGCCCTCCTTGAAAAAAATCCACGCGCGAGCCTCCTCGCCGATCGAGCGCTCATTTAGACCTTGAAAGAGTTCCCTGCCTCGTCATTTAATTGCATCTACATGGAATAAAAACCTCTTTGTAGTTTACTTGCGCAGTAATATGCGAAGCTTTGCATCACCGAGTCGCAATCGTAGGTTTTCGAGCGCCCCTAGCGAAGCGTCGAGTGGTGAAAAGTCATCTCCGCCGACGAGAGTCTTATTAATACCTTCTTCAGGGCGGCTCGAGCACCTGCGAAATGAGGTTGCACGATGTCACGCGTCTTTTTTGCGTCTCGCCTTAGAACTTTGCGTTCGGTTCAACATCTTTGAGCGGCTTGAATCTGCCTCGAGCAAATCCACTTAGACGCGAGAGCACAATATACGTTCTCTGAAGTTTCCGGTCGCCTCTTCGGCTCAGATAATAATCTATTTTGGAAGAATCGGAATTGTTTGTAGAAATTGAGCAACGTGTCGCGGATGGACGCACGCATCGCACGCACGCACGCACGCACGCACGCACGCGCGCACGCGCGCACGCACGCACGCACGCACGGAACTTCCCATAGCTACCCGGGAGAGCCCTTTAAACGTATCCCCGGAGCGATTTCTTCTCTTCAAGTGTTTTGCGAGCGTACGAGGTCGTGCTCCCGCCACGAGCTCGTAGTGCACACGCCGTCTCCTCGCCACCACTCGTTCACGTCCTTGTAATACTTTGGCGGGCGGTCGTCGTGCAGCATGGCGCACACCCGACACCAGAAGTACGTATTGATGAACTCGCCGGTGCCCTTCCAGCGAAAATACGAGTTGTACAAATCGTCGTCGCGGTCCAGCCGGTGCAGGTACTCGGCGAGCTCCTTCGGCGACTCAAACTCGTCCACGTGGATGTAGGAACGGTACGGCGCGCTGCGCGCGTAATCCGTCGGATGTGCGCCCATCACAATCGGCAGGACGTTGTGCCTGCACATCCGAGAGAGAATAGATACAAGAAGTGATAATTATATACAGTCAGAAAAAAAGGAGTCGAAAGCGCGCGATTCCGAAAGAGGCCGGCTACACCGGTTACGCAACTCATATATACATACATACACTATTTTACACTCGCAAATCGGCGCGATCGCATCTAAGTTCGGTTGGCTCGCCTCTCTTGGGGATTTTAATTAATAATACCGCGAGCGCGGCACGTGTTTCTGTCCATTACGCGAATAGAAGAGATTAGGTAACGCGAGTTGGCATGCGACCGCCTTATTCGAGATACCGCACAAGTTGGCGAAGGTTGCCGACCTCTGGATAAAATGATCGAGCGTATTAGGTCGACCGAGTTACATTCGCTGCTCACATCTGAAACACCGCAGCTGTTTGCGATGGATTGTGCATGCTAAAACGATAGAGTGAGAATGAGAGAAAGGGATAGAGGGAGAGAAAGCGAAAACAAGAGAGAGAGAGAGAGAGAGAGGAGGGAGA